GAGGGGGGGGGGGGGGGGGGAGAAAGCTAGGAGGAACATTACAGAGCACTCAGGGCTGCTCATTCACTCAGAGGAAAAAAGAACAGTTCCTCAGGAAGACTACACCACTCCATTTGCCTGGCTGCTTGTCCACAGGACAGACAGAGCTGGGCAGACAAAAAACTATTGAGCTGTTAAGGAAGAAGACCGATGACTCCATTACCACAGACTTTCAATAGAATCATTTGGGGGGAGGAAATTGGGCTGGAACAGCCCTCAGGAGGTCAGTTACCTTATGCACACCCATGCCCAAGGGCAGAAACATCCTGCTTAAAATCAGACCAGTATCTGTAACAATCATTTAAAAAAACAAAAACAAAACAAAAAAAAACTTCCAGCAACCGGCATTTTGCAGCGTCTCTAGGATCCCGGCCATCTTAAGCCCCAATTCTCAGGCTCTGTCCAGAGAAACTAAGAGAACCATCCCAGCACACCTAGGAAAGCCTCACACAGGGGTCAGAATATTTTTTACTGGTGTCTACCAAAGCCAATAAGCAAGAAGTGCTTCTTCCCATGCAACAGGGATGTAGGTTGTAGCCGTGTTGGTCTAAGGACATAAGCAGACAAGGTTCTCTCCGTGAATCTGATATCTTTTATTAGACCAACTTAAACAGTTGGAACCCAAAAGCTTGCTTAATAATTGTTTTCCAACCATTTAATTGGTCTAATAAAAGATATCAGATTCACGCAAAGAACTTTGTCCGCCTATCTTCCCATGCAAGCCTCATTCACTTTGGACTTGCCCAAACTAAAGGCATGAGGTTAGCTAGCACAATTTAGGAGTGCATGGGAGGCCAGACAAAATGCAATTAATATATTGAGCTGGACAACTTGAACCCCAGATTCCCCTCTAGTCTTTAATTCTGCCTGCTCACTACATTACTATGGGACAATTTCATTATAATTAACCCCAGCAGCCCCAGGGGGAAGTCATTGAAAGAGGGTGTTCAGCTTGGTCAAACTGCTGCATAAGAATAATGAAAAATGTGGTCCTCGCTGCTGGGATGTTTGTTGTGAAATTGAAATAGGATGTGGACAAAATACGAGGACACATTTTTCACAAACGTTAGCCAGCATGTGGTAATACAAAAGTGTTAGCATCTGACCTCAGAGCCCTAGTCCCAGACCAGGATTCCTCTGTGCTAGAAGTGTATGAAGAGAACTAGAGACAGAGATGGTTTCTGCCCCCAGTTATTTAGATTGATACAGAAAGAGATGTGGGAGCACAAGGCAAAAGATGCAGATATCACTGGTCAGGATAATAGACTGCACTTATTTATGTTGCCAAGCTTCCTGCAGGCACATTATCCTTACAGCACTCGTGGCAGTAAGATGACTTTGCTGATGTTTATGGGGAGTTCTTCCCAAGACTAAAGGCAACACGGGGGGAAAAAAAAGCAAAAGGTTGCTGGAAAATTCAGTGTGAGCAATGAAAGCTAGCATCGTGGATTAGTTGGAAGCAGGAGTAGCTCACTGCATTGACTACAGTTTGTGTTGTCTGTGCTATGATTCATGGGGGTTTGATAATTAATCTTAGTGCAGACAAGGCAGCATAGGGCACTGGTGACTCAGTAAAAGTTACTAAATGCTGCCTCATCTACACTAGGGTTGGCCAGCACCCTCCAATACTGTACCTCGAAGTCCTGGTCAGAAACTCACAGAAGTGTAGGGCTGGTATGGAATTCAGCTGCTCCGGTTGTCTCATCACACTCCTAGTGCACTATACCAGACAGCCTGCTACTAGAAGCAGCCCTCAGACTTGGTGCGTTTCTACTTGCAGGGAGAGGTCCACCACATCAGTGCAGAGCTCCCTCCTCCTCCCTCCAGGTCCAGGGGGCAAGAATGGATCCTGAAGGCAACAGCAAATAGCAGGGCTCCAGTCAAGAGCACCCCTTCCCCAGGTCTAGGGTTTTCTCCAGCATGTCTGCCCGAAGGGGCAGCAGCAGCAGCAGAATCCCTGCAATGGCAGCTGGTGCATGGATTGTAGAGATGCCCCTTCACATGGCTCTCGGCATAGCACCTGTAGAGAGCTTTTGAAATGGGAAGTTTTCTATAAGTTCTATAAGAGACTCTGTCCTTTCACCAGTGCAGAGTGCTGTCTGCAGTGGTTTTGATGCTGGAATCACAGAAGCCTATGATTAAGTCAAAATAGTTTTGACAGAGGAGTTAGTCCACTCCATGACAGATTTTTCATCCTAACGCTACTACATTACAAAAGCAAGGCTTAATGAACTGTATTGGACATGTCACCCTTAGAAGCAGCAAGCCAATCAGCCTGCCCAGAAAAAGATTGAGAAGCAGAGAAATCCACTCAGCTGAGTTGAGGGACAGGCCACAGGGAACACCACCAAGTGGGAAGGAACATTTACTATAAGCCAGCCAAAAAGCAACCCGGTTAAGAGGGTTGCAAGAGAAGCTGCGACACCCATTCAGGCTGGGGGATGGGAGGTATAACTGGCCCATTATACAGGGTGACAAGTCATAGGCCCAGGATGC